TTCTCAAGGAGTCAAATACTAAAAGATACCTTCAGAGGACAACTGAGAAGGATACATTAGAGGTCTATGGGGATGAAGAATGGAGACGGTCAGGGGCTGTTCTGTCTCTGGGGAGCGAGGGAAGTCACGGTGGCTTGATCCAAGTGTGGTGCTAAAGCACCTGAAAGCCCAGAGAGATGGGGTGACAGTGGTGACAGTACTGTTCTTGAATGCCAGCTGGCACTCTGGCCCAGTTCCCAAGTGACTTGTATGTGAGGGAGGGGAAGTTAAAAGCAAGAAGTATATGGCCGTGGTTCTAGTTAGAAAGATTTCAATTTAGGTCCAGAATCTAAAGACTATTAGACTGCAAGACTAGGAGAGAATTTTTTAGCCCCATTGAACCTCAATTTCCCTATCTTAGAAAGGTAAAAATTATGTGGGCTAAGGTATAAAAATGCTTTGCAAAGTGCTGGTTCAGAGCACTCAACAGGAAGCAGGAAAACCCAAACAGTGGAAAATTGAAAGGACTTTGACATTCTGGCAAACGTTGGAAGTGCAGGATTGTGGGGTGGGAGGCTGGTAGGGAAGAGGCCTGTCTCCACTTCAGTGGCGAGCACAGTACGGTTCCCTGCATCTGGGACTCAGGAGGGTATATCCTGCAGTGAGCAGACTCGGCACAGAGAGTGGCACCCAATAGCACAGGAAGAGTGGTACAGCAGACATCTAGACACAGCAGTGACAGTGGGAATCTACCTGAAAACCATCAGCAGTCAGTAACTCCAGGAGAGCAGAAGGGGAAAACCCAAATGGTGGCTTCCACACAAGAACAGGGGGGCTTTGTTTGTGAATCTACATTCAACACTCCCCTGCACACCGTGAGAATGATTTCTAAATGAATCCTAGGGATAAGATAGTAGTAAATGCAGCTTGACTGGGGCTCATGAAACCAAACAAATTGTTTGCTATCTGCACTTCCTAGAAAAATCTATGTTGTGATATGTTATACCCTCATGTGACACTTTGTACCCCATCCTAAAGAAGTTCATGACTAGCAGAGAAAACACATGTATACACAAATGACTGTGAAGCTAAAGTGATGAAGCCTTTGAATGACACATAAAGAAGGCAAAGATCTGGGACAAAGCAGGGAGGGGCTCCAGCCGTGCTGTGTGGGATGAGGGAGGGCGGAAGAGGCATTATGAAGGGTTTGAATTGGCATACGGGGCAGTTCATCCAGAGGGCCAGGGAGCAAGGCAAAGGGCACATGGAAGGCACAGCACTTAAAACTTCATGGGCTGTGAAAGGATGGCGGGTGGCTAGAACACAGGGTGCACTTTGAGATGTGGCAGGGTACGTAGACTACAACATCACACTGTAGTGAAAATACGCACGAGCTTGGCTTTTTACCCTGAGATGATATTGTACAACGTTGTGAATTTAGGAATGTTTTAAAATCTACAACCCTTAATTTCCTTATCTGGAAAATGAGGACAAAGATAGCTGTGCTTCAGTGTTGCTGTAGATATCAAGAAAAGTATAAAATAGTTACACCAGAACTTGTCAGGACAGATGCTTAGCAAATATTAGATCCTTCTTCTAATGTTTGGCTCTAAATGTGGGCAGAGCCTCGACCGTGAAGAAATTCATATACCATGCAAAGGCATTTGGAGTCTGTGATAGAGGCACAAACCTTCCTTGAAGTTTTAAGCACTTGTACTTTGGCAAGAGCTATGTTGACAGAAGAAAAAGGGACAAAGTCCAAACATATTATGAAGGTACAATAGGCAACACCCTCAGGGAAGGATCGGGGGGAAGGGAAGATGGCATTAGTCTACGAATCGTGCCACCTGGAGTCATGCAGCCTGGTGGCTCTGGAAGACAGGGTTATGCTCACATTTGGAAGGCAGAGTGAATAGTGATCCTTTAACTGGAATAGAAAATGTGTGTGTAGGGGGTGGCGGGGTGGGACATGCAGATATAGGATGTGAGTTAACTTTTGGGAATACTGAGTGAAATTAAACAGCATGTAGAAAAGAACCCCATGCTTAGTAAGTACATGTATCTGGAGTTATTGTCATAAATTTTGTAGGCTAACGAGCCAAGAAGTAATGGATAGATCCCTGAATTGCCCTGATGTGACAGGGACAGGTGGTGGGGAGGAAGCCAGTGAAGGTGAGTGAGGAGGAGAGGCTGGAGACAAAGATGTCAATGAACTAAGACGTTTTAGGAACGTTGAATTACTGAATAGTGTCAAAAGCAAATGAGAAGATAAATGGAAGATAAAGATGCAGTGACCTTTGGATGTATCTAGCTGGAGGTTATTAGTGGTGTGATAGACCCAGGAGGGGCCTGGACGCTGTGATCAATAAGCTGGCCCTGGGGGCCGGCATGGTGGCTCACGCCTGTGATCCCAGCCCTCTGGGAGGCTGAGATGGGTGGATTGCTTGAACTCAGGGATTCGAGACCAGCCTGAATAAGAGTGAGATCCTATCTCTACTAAATATACAAGAACTAGCTGGGTGTTGTGGCAGCTGCCTGTAGTCCCAGCTACTCAGGAGGCTGAGGCAAGAGGATTGATCACTTGAGCCCAAGAGTTTGAGCTTGCTGTGAGCTGTGGTGACTCTATGGCACTTTACCTAGGGTGACAGAGTGAGACTCTGTCTCAAAAACAAATAAACAAACAAACAAAACTAACTGTATGTAAGAGTTAGAATACTACCTATACAATAGTGTGGAGTCTCCTATATGTTGAAAGTGGAGGATAAATGGGCCTACTCTCAGCTGGTGTGAGGCAGTGAAGATGCTGAGGATATAGGAAGCCCAGCGCTGCTCAGTGATTTGCCTATTGTACTGAGGTGGTTTTCAAACTCACCTCGGTCCTCACAACTCACTTTAGTCGTATTCATCTTTTCTGTCTCCCTGTCCCCGGATGGCCATTCCATATCTTCCCAAATTCCCTTAAACCTTGGATCTTGGCTCTTGCTCTCTCAGTCTCAATAGATGTCTTTGCCTCACGCTCCACAAGGAGGATAGAAATGTCAGCTAAGAATCTGCTGTCCCTTGCCTGCCTGGGCTGTGGAGTGTAGGAGAATAAGCCAATTCCATCAATGAGCCGATAAGCAGCATTTTAGAGGGAGACCCAAATTTCAGATAAGCACCAACAGGAGACAGAATTTGTTATCAAGAGGATGGTTATAAGCACAGAGAAAAGAAGGAAGGATGCAGAAGGCAGTGTGAGGCGGTCAGTCCGGAGAAAACGGATCTTAGGGGATGATAAGCAGAGAATGTGAGGATGGGACTGAAAGGGGGACCTTTCTTCCTGGGCTTGGACAATGAAGTCACTGGGCAAGGCACACATTTCCACCAAAGAACAAAGTTCTAGTTGGGAGATAGAGGTACATACATGAAGGCTGGGAGTTGGGGTGAGCGTAGAGAAATGGAAGAGGAGAAGGAAGGCTTTTCGGATCCCCCTAACCAGTAGCAAATAAATGTTCACCATAACTTCAAAAATAAAGACGGTCTGTTCAGGAAGGGTGAGTCTTTAAAAAGGAAAAAAGCCTACATGAAGAATGTGTACCGTTTACTACATGAATGAAAGAAAGAGCCATGGAGGTTATATAACATATTAAGGGAAAAAGGTAGCAAAACAGATTGTGTGTGTGTGTGTGTGCGCACGTGCATATGTGTGTGTTTGAAAAAACACAGTGACTTCCCAAATGTTAAAAGATGCTCTTTCCAAGTGGTGCTTCTGCAGCTGCTTCCTATAAGCCGATCTATGTTTAGCAAGGCCTGAAACCTATGTGCTTCTGGGATCTCCTCTAAAAGAAAAAAAAAAAAATAGGCTCGGCGCCTATAGCTCAACCGGCTAAGGTGCTAGCCACATACACCTAAGGTGGCGAGTTTGAAACCCCAACCCGGACCCGCCAAACAACAATGACAACTGCAACCAAAAAATAGCTGGGCATTGTGGCGGGTGCCTGTGGTCCCAGCTACTTGGGAGGCAGAGGCAGGAGACT